TACCTAATCAAACACGACTAACTGTGCCACTTGTCTGCGTCCTCTGGTCTGGTAGCAAGCTGTTCTTTGTCTTCTCAAACAAGACTACGCTATCCACGCTGGACTGCGATCGCCAGCTTGCCCTTCATGTTATTCGCTGCGGGACCTCAGCATGGACGCACATGCTAAGTGGACCTTGGTGGAGTTGACGGACCTACTAAGATGGTATCCGGAGCCGCTCTTCTTTCTTCTCGCGACTTGCAGTGTTGGTGGGCCACTGCTCTGCACTACCAAGTGTTCCACTACCTCCTCGTTGCCGCTCCCTTCCCCCGCTTATTCCGTTCAATCCATTTTCTACAACTTATTTCCATGTGCCACTTATGTTTTATCACGATGTTGTTCATTAACTGCATGCTGCCGCTTATCGGTCAATGTTTTCAATAACTATGTTGTGTTTTGTTCTGCTTTACTAACCGATAATAAATCATAATCATAATCATACTGCATGCTGTGGACGTCTGTTGAAGAGCCAAGAGACATTCTTCCCTCGCTACCCTCTCGCTTGATTTTCATGCGCTTTCGGAAGGCGAAAGTGGCACAATCCTACAGCTACATGACCCGAACCCACCCCGTAGGAAAGCGTACGGATTCACTGGCACGGATTCAATAGCTCAAGCTAGACGGTAAACCAGGTCCCATTATTGGTTAGGAAATCTTCCTCTAGGGGTGGCTTGATACGACCTCTTCCCCTAATTCCCTCCTCTGATACGATCGAGGTGTTAAGCGCGGAGGGGAGAGGGGGGAGAGTGCATAATGGTACATGTGGAATACGAAAAACCGCGAGAAGTCAACGAGCGAGGGATTTTTTTTCCAAGTTCCGCGATTTTCTCCCAGAAGGCAAATACGGCTCTCTCTCTCTCCCCACAACGAAGCACCCCTCCTCCGATAGTATCCAAGAAGAAGCAAGAAAAATTATCTCTTAGGAATTTTTTCAAACCAAGTACGACCCCACCCCTTCCTCAGCTCCTCGTTTCCTTGACTTTTCGCAATGCAGCCAAACTTCTCCCATATTCACACCCCAATCAAAGTTTGAAGAAGAACAAATTATCATGAGTAAAGAAAAAAACAAGTACAGTCCCATCACGAGGCTGTCCAAATTTGGGCATGAAAGAATCATTACCATCAGTAGGTTCAATCAAGCGGGCGAAAGGAGTGTGGATAGATTGGTGCAAGGAAGGTTGTGGTGGTATGGCAAACAATAACGATAAAAGGAGATCAAACGGTCAAGTGACCTGCACTATTCTTACTTAAAAAGGTTGAGAGAACAGTAAAGGACTTGTTCCACAGCCTCTGTTCGCAACGATTTTTCAATTTCTGGTATAAAAATCCAGTTGGGAAGAACACGGTATCGACTGTTTTTCCCTGACTAATTCTCCACCCTTTTTTTTCTTTTTCAAACTCTTCAGGAAACGTAAGCAAACTCTATTGAGACATGGATAAAGCTTGGACAAAGTTGTTCCAGTCATCCGAAACCGAGCTAATGTTTTGACCAGCTTTTTCTCTGGGGACAGACTTGGTTTATAAGAAAAAAGCTCCTTGGCTAGGTTGACCTCCCTAACTGGAGTATCACATCCGCTTGGTCCGAAATCTCCTGGTGGCCTGTAGCACAGGCTCGAATCGCTTTCGTTAGGAGCAGTGTGCTTGGGCAGTTAAGGAAATAGTGAAGGAAATCAGCAATCTTCGTGGTTGCATGCGATAGTGATCCTTCCCTCCTTTGACAAAGGAGCATTTCCAGATCATGGAGCGCTTTTCAGAAATGATTGGTTGCATGTTGTAGGGGTCCATATAAGGATCACAAAAACGGGTTTCTTTTTGCTACGCATTTCTGGGAAGGTCAAAAAATGGGTGAAAATTTGCCAAGGAAAAAGCGATTTTAAATCATTTTTCTAGGCTCTTTTCTTTTTCTAATGTCGAATATGCCTAGCAAGTGAGACCTTCGTCGAAATTGCATCGAAAGCAGTGCAAGTTAATGTGAAAAAAGTACTTTATTTGGCACACACTGAGATTGCATTGGTGGTAAAGTCCGTTTCTCCAAGTGGTGCCACCGGGTACTGTCCGCTTTAGCGGGCTGCTGATCACAGACAGTTACAACGGCAGGTGACAGGCCTTCGTGACGGGCCGACCTACGAAAATTCCATGCCACATCACAGTGTTTAACTATGCCACCTGATTTCCGATATAGTGCCACGGCGTCCCCGGGAGCCGACGCGCACTCTATGGCCCGGCGAGTGTGGAAAGTATGCGAGGGTTCCTAATGCAGGGACGGCATTGGCATTGGCATTGGGCGGCAACTAGGCTAGTTCGAATGTTTGGCAACGTTTGGAAGGCTCGCCTTGCAACGCTGAACGTTGGGACCATAACAGGGCGCTCATTCGCGTTGGCAGAAGCACTGGAACGCAGAAGAATCTGTCTCTGCGCAGTGCAGGACACACGATGGTCTGATTGTCAGTCGAGAGATACTGGTCGTCGCTCTAAAGCCATTCTTTGCGCTGGACCGAGAATGGTGTCGCTGTAATTGTTTCTCACCGATTCCATGACTCAATTACCAGTGTTGTTCGCTTTGACGACCGTTTAATGAAGACTGTTGTCGCTGTTAAACAACGTCTATACCACTTGTTCTCTGCGTATGCCCCGCAAACTGGATGCTCCGAGCAATCCAAGGACGACTTCTGGGCTCTGAGAATGAGAAGACGCCTGAAGTACCACCAGAAGACAGTAACATTGTAGCTGGCGACCTAAATGGACACGTGGGCGCTGCTAAAGACGGCTATGCTTGTCACGGTGGATTCGGCAAGGAACGCTGATGGTGAGCGAGTCCTTGAATATGCAGATATCCATAATCTCGTCATTCTGAAACTTCGTAAACGCGACTCACGTCTCATCACCTTCTGCAGTGGGAGTTCCAAAACACAAATAGACTATGTTCTTATCAAGCATGGCGATCAAGGACTCGTCACAGACGCCAAGGTCGCGCCGTACGAAACAGTTGCCCCACAAAACGATGATCTGCACGCTGAAATTTACAGCACCCAGATCGAAAAACACCGAGCGGTGTGCCCTCGAGAGGACTAAGGGTGGTGACTGAAAGAGCGGGAGCCATCCATGATTTCTCGTATCCGATTACCGGAGGTCACCA